AAACTTCTCCTTACATTATTTGTAGGATGTGGATAACAGTATACTTTTGTTACATTTACATATATTAGTTAGCAGAGGAGAAACTGCTCTGTTCTGTGCCAAGGAAAAAATTGTAAAGCTATGTAGCTCATTGATGAATACTAAAATTTTTATGACAGTATTGATAGAATTATATCAATTTATGTTACAGAGATTAACATTTTAGCCAAAGTTTTAATATATTTAGCTTCATATCATGACATATTTGAATATTTCTATAAAAGAATACTAAAGACATTTTTCTCATTTATAGTTTGATTTAGTATAGTGCCTCATGTATTCTTAACAGTTTCTTAGTATAATAGATAATTGTTAGAATATAATTATAAAGCATAATAGAATTTTATATGGATATTTGCAAAGATATTTCTGCAAAACTTCACTCACATATAACCCAAATATATTTGTTGCCTTAATATACATACTTTTACAAAGACAAAATTTTAATATTTACTAATTTTTCACTTTAACCAGACAGGTGGAAATTAAGACATTTCGTTCTCGTAATTTATTTAAAAGATATTTATACTCACTTTTTAAGGTTACTAGAGCCCAGTTAATTAACAAACTTCTAAGTACATTAGATAGTCTACTGCAAAATATTTCTTCCAAGTAGGATACAGCTATCAAATATTTGTTGCTGCTATTTTTATTCCCAAGCCTTTATAACTATGTAATAGTTCAATGTTATATTTGTATACCACTATGAAAAATCCTATATTCTTTCTACTCACTACTACCATATAGCATTATATGTTTTTAAGGAAGTGGTTGGGTTCATTTTGGAAGTATATACCTTGAAAGAACATATGTAGTTAGAACCAGAATATATAATATAAAATAATATACAATTTAGTAGATGTAGTTACTTAAAAAGTAACTCCCCTGCTCACTCCCCTGCTAAATGAAATTAACCATCACCTTTGATTTATCTCACTCCCCTGCTAAATGAAATTAACCATCACCTTTGATTTAGTCATGTTTCCAAAAGGTATGAATAGCATGTAATAAAGCATTTCTTTTAGTCATAAGTGTTAATGTGAGAAAAGCAAATATAGACAGTGTATGGGCTCGGTGCCTGTGGCTCAAGTGGCTAAGGCGCCAGCCACATACACCTAAGGTGGCGGGTTCAAATCCAGCCTGGGCCCACCAAAACAACAATGA